CGATTCAATCTCTTTGCATACAGTATGCATTATTTTCAAATACAAACCGAATGGAAATCTTTCCAACTTTGTCCTTTTGTGAATACAAAGTCAATTTGAATTTTTCCTTCAAAACTCACGATTCTTTTCAAAATCAAATGTGGACACAAATGGCAGTGATTCATGAAACCAAATTGAAAACCGAATGGCTATCGAGAATTACCTTTAAGCATGATGATCGGAAATTTTCAATGATGATCGTGAATTTTATTTTCAAAAACCCTAACTTTTCATGAATCAGAAATTCATTCATAATTATTTATGGAAAAACACAAATTCTTAAACACATGCTCTGATACCACATGTAAGCAATTTAATCAGTAATTCATGATTCATGTTCAACAGTAATCAGTCAAGAACATGACATAGGATCTTTAGAATTCATGAGTTTCACACAAACATACCTTTGTCCATAATTGCGGAAGATCTTTAACAGTAGAATGCTTTCTCTAAGCCTTAACCCTTTCACCGTTCTTGTACCTTCTTTGATAGGGATAGGATACAACTTTTCTAGGCAGACTCAGAAGGACGTTTGTTTTCTATCAGATACCCTTATATGAAAACTGACCATATAAACTATTATATAACTGGCCTATCACAGTTATTTCTAATTAACTTCCCTTAATGCGAAACGTCAAAACGTCAATTACCATTAATGCGAAACGTTACCATAATGCAAAACGTTAAAACATCAATTATCATTAATGCGAAGCGTTACCATAATGCAAAACGTTAAAACGTCAATTATCATTAATGCGAAACGTCAATTACCTTAAAACCTCTCTTATTATTAATCAAACCAATTGACACACATCACACATGAGACACAAATAATTTTACATTTACCAATAATTTTGCGATAAGTAATCTTTGTCTTTTCTTTTTCTTAAGCGTCCAAGATCTGAATTATATCAATACCATATACAACGATGCAAATGACAAAAGATTCTTTAATCTACATGGAAATTATTAACTTAAAATGAAGGAGGTGCAGCAGAGAGCTCCAAATCAATTAAAACAGAAAGCTGACAACCAGGTTTGTTGATTTTGTTGTAAAAACTCGAAATAGTTTCAGATACTTTCAGAGGTCACCGTGGTTCACATGCAAACATGTATATATAAAGGATGAGAAATAGTGCATGTGATTAGATATTTGTCTTTGCTTGCTGGTAAACCTATGAGTAATAAGGCATGCTCGTACAAATAATTAAATAAAATATTAAACAAATTGGGATCATTGTTTCGTTTTGTTTCTTGTTTTTTTTAACATTATTGCCCAACAATGTGTCACACTTAAAGTTCAAACCAACGAGATAAGGCTTTTATGAGTTAACCTTGTTTTTTTCAATGTTTTCATGGAGGTATGTAATATATAATACTACTACAAATAATTAGATAATAATATTACATGATATTTTTTAAAGAAACGAAAAAATATAATAAATATGTAAAAGTCTTGATTGGATTTTGATCAATCATAGTAAAGACTGAAGAGTGAGACATAAAGTCATAAAGTGATAAAAGAAGACGAATTGATAAGAATTGTGGGGCATCATAGCTGCCCATATTCTGTGAAAGGGTAACCGTCCATTATTCCTTTCGCTCCACCTCAATAATATGTTGATGGCTTACATTTCGTGAATTTTGATTAGTGTGTGTCATATATATATGTATAATGTATATACATATATAGACATGATATATAGTTACATCCTTAGTTATTAATTATCTTACTTGTAGCTAACGTATACTTGACTAAATTAGACGTATTGACAATTATCCAGATGGTCCCAGAAGTGCTATCCCGAATTTGAACACCTGCTCTCTAGGCAATTCATGTTCTGGGAATTTTTTTATTTTTTGAGAGAGAATGAAATCGACATGGATACGCATTAAAAGACAGAAAGGTGGTAGCAACACATCGAAGAATGAGTTTGAGTTTCACATATGTAAAGGGAATCTACAGTGGAGAGCCCACTGGGGAAAATTTCAGTTAACTTGTTTTCATGTGCCTTTTCTGGTTGTATATATATTATAAACTTTGTAAGTCATGATACCCAGTTTGTTTCTTTGTGTTTCTAACCGTTGTGCATCTGTGCATGAATTTCTGAGTAAGGACATATTATATATTCGGTGGTGTCATGCTCGGATAAAACTACTTTACAGTGTGCGCTAGTAGTATCGCTGAGAAACGGTCTAATACCACATCAATAATTGCCTTTGGTATGACGTATAAATGAAGACTATGGAAGTGAGACAGTTTTAAAGGACCCCGTAACCAAAAGAGCATCTCTACTATAGAGTTCCCCTTTGTAATTGCATGTAACTACATTAAAAATCGGTATAATTCACAAACTATACTAGGGATTGATATTAGTTGGTGCTCTCACACAAATGCACCTATTAATTTTTTTATTTTTATTTTGTAGTTGACATTCTCACGGAAGTACTCAAGTGAATGGGAGAGTAAATGCATTTTCTGCTTGTATAATTGCATTCCTACTAGGAGTGGTAAAATGATGAGGTCGAAAATAAGAAGATCACATCAATGTGTGAAGTTATTAAAATAAAAATTCACTTCGTGAGCGGCAGGATTCGAACCTGCGCGGGCAGAGCCCACATGATTTCTAGTCATGCCCGATAACCACTCCGGCACGCCCACTTTGTGATGACAATGCTGTCAAGTAATATTATTTATCATATATTAAAAAGCTAGTAGCACTTTATAACCAACGAAGAGCTATTTATATCCACATTTATTTGAAATTGATGTAATCACTATGTCATCATCATATATATCCACCGAGACTAACAAAAACCTTTAGTTGAAATTGACCTTGAGAAACTTCAGTTGCTCGCTTGTTACCTTATTTTTGGAGCATTTGTTAACGCAATATCTTGGTAATGCAAGAGAAAGAAGAAACACTTAGCAAAAAAATGTGATCATACCAAACAAAAAAAGTTTTAAAATTTTAAGGGAAAAGTGTTTGTTCTTTTAAATAATATAATTTATGTCATTTCACTCTCATAAAGACGTGAGATCTACATTATTATTATTTTTTGTCCACTCTCTATTCTTCGTGACTTATTTCTTTCTCTCACTTAAAATGACACAATTTTACATCTTTTAAAATGACACACTCTTTTTCCAAATTTTAAATATCATATATTCTTAATATCTTGTACCAAAACACGGTAAGTGACTTTTATTTTTATTTTTTCCCCCTTAATTTCTGCTGCAAGCGTTAGCCATATAATAACTAGTGGACCAGTTAGAGATTCCAGTATATTTATACGACCCCACAAATATACCCTTAAAAGAAAGCTGCCGGAGCAGTGCCATGCAATTGCAACATTTCATTGGGTTGAATAACTTTTTTGTACAAAGGCGAAATGAATCTATCATGATGCACTGAAATTGGCCCAATCAAAAGCTCATCATCATGTTCTCTTGTTTTATTATAATGTGAACGCCAATCAGTTAATTAAATAATTGCTATGATCAATTTGTATTCATTAGTGTATTGTCCCCACTTTAATCCAAGAATTCCTCTATGTAATCATGGTTTAATTTCTTGAAGCAATATTTATCACGTATGTCATTTCAGGGATGGAGCTTAATTGTCACAAGATTCTAGAGGAATTCATAGTCAAGAAAGAGGAACAACGTAGAAGGCAACTTGTCTAGGCACTAGAACCACACTTTGTAAAGTCACTGCACTCATCAGAAGATAACACGGTAATGAAGGAGGTGCTTCTTTTTCCTTTAGTAGAATTCTGAATCTCAAATATAGGCCTCAAAAAGCTGTATTTGGTAACGTGGGAATTGTGGTCCTCAGAATGTCAACCATAGGAGTGTTAAAAGAATCTTTCTTTTGCTACATAACTGGTAGAGATTTGAAGCATATCTTTCACGCTTAACCTTAAGCTCCAACCAGTTGTTGGGATAATGTGTGATCTACCAAAAAATTATGGTTCATTTTTTGCTTTTAAGAAAAACAGTTAGGATAATGTCTATCTAATTAAAAGTGAATATTCTTAAGATCGTGGTTGTCCATTTCAATGGTCTTTGTGGCTCTTCTAAGTTAAGCTGGCTTGAGTAAGGGTCACCTTTTAACTCAAACTAGAGCCTTAGTAGTTTGAACTCTAAAATTCTAGATTTTCTACTATCTAAGCCATCCAATTCGTACAAGTACATTTCAGTCTAAATAGATAAGAGTCTAAAATCTAAAAGTCTTTGTCCCCAATAACATGCTCATGCTCAGTTGGTAGAAGTTGAGAACATGTAAAAAGTATGGGCCTTTGGTTTTTACACACCATCTCAATTTTCTTTTTCTAATCCCTATTGGGGGTCCTCCTAGCCTCACAGCATGTGTCCAAAACCTTACAGAAAGAGAGAGGGGGGGAGGGGGGGGAATCATTAATGTTCATCTCAATAATTTTTAAAATTATCATATGTCAATAATCCTTTTCTATAATAATCTCATACGTGGTTATCAAAATTAGTCCATCTGATCTAAGAATATAAATTCCCAAATAAGACCAAGGCTTGGGATGTGTGACTTTTCATTCACACCCATATAAATTTCATTGAAACTTTGTAACATGTTAAAGAATATCTGAAACAAACATAATAATCTAAAACAATATAATAATTAGAATTTTGTTAACATGTAGGGCTCACGTTGATAAATTAAAAATAAATATTAAATGAAAAGTGGAAATATTTATAATCTTAATTTTTTTTTTTATTAAATTACCTTAATAAGTATTCATAGAATGTTTTTATACTTTTGGGGTCTTCAAAGTAAAGAATGAAACAAAAGTCCCATTAGAGGCCCATTGGACGTGATATTGGTCTTCTCTGGGCTCAGGTAGGCCTTTCTCTTGTTGGCCCATGTAAATTGGGATCTTCCAAAACCCTAAAAACCCTAACTCCTACCTAGTTCCTAGAACCTTCCACTCTCATCTGCTTCTGGCATTTTAAAGTCACTTACTTGAACAAAAAAACCTAATTCTTGAGAACCCTAGCAGCATAATCAAGGTGAGGGAGATGGCAAAACGCTTAATTCCTAGCTTCAACCGCGTTCTCATTGAGAAAATTGTCCCTCCCTCTAAGACCAGCGCTGGCATTCTCCTCCCTGAGAAGTCCTCCCAGGTTTTAACTCTCTAATTTGTGCATCAATAGGTGTATTTCCGAATTTGCTTAATCTAGGTTTAGGGTTTATGTAATTTTGGTGTGTCTCTGTATAAAATAGAATTTGTGGTTTGGAAACAGCTTAATGCGGGCAAGGTGATAGAAGTTGGACCCGGAGCACGTGACAAAGCAGGGAATTTAATTCCGGTATCCGTCAATAAAGGGGATCACGTGCTCTTGCCAGATTATGGTGGCACTCAAATCAAGCTCGATGACAAAGAGTATGCTCTCGGAATCAAGTGTTCTTTTTGGGATTTCAATATTGAAGTTTTGACAAACTGGGGTTCTTGTTTTTTCTTGTGTTTTTTTCTTGCAGGTTTCATTTGTTCAGGGATGAGGACATTCTGGGCATTCTGCGTGATTGATGTCATGTTTGCCTGGAAATGCAAATTCTGGGTTGGTTGAAAAATAATTTAGTGTCTTGTTCGAGAATGTAACTTTGGACTAAATACTTGAGAGGGAAAGGGTTGATTTTTTAGCAGTTTAAGCTATTTTGTATTCTGAAAAATTGGCAATGGGAATGGTGCTTCTTTCTTTGCCGCTGTTCTAGTATTTTATCTGTGTTTTGTACTTACCTTTCTGCAACATTTTGATTTCGGGTTACAAATTTGCAGCATTATGACACACTTAACCATTTTATTTGAAGTTTTATATTAGTAGTACTGAGATATTCCCTATATATGGTAGCGCTGGAGCCGAAATGAAAATAAGTTGTTCGGTTCTCTTCTTGGACATGGTCACCATCGTCCCTCTGATCAATAAAAAACTGTTGCTGGTCTGATCTAGCCGGAGTACCTAGCTGACGCGACAAAGGGATTCCATCCCTCAAGTTAGTAATTGTTTGAAAATGCATCTCTTTTTTCTTTTTTTGGTGCATGGAAATGCATCTCTCTTTTTTTTTTTGGTGCATGGAAATGCATCTCTTAACATATATAACTACATCGATAGAATGAATCTAACAATTCAGGTGCAATATCCTAGACAAATTTGAGTGCAACCAGAGACCTTTCGGTCTCTTGATTGAGGAATGTGAATTCAGAGAAAGAAAATAGTTATATTTGGAGGCTGCAGCAACTTCGTCCCGGGACAATCACTACAGAATGTGAAGAAAAGCCTAAAGCAGCTAGGAATAATTTGTAAAACTAAACCTCATGACCCGGAAATTTTTTCACAAAAATCGACGATCTTACTTCTTTTTGGCATAAACCGCGATTCTTTCGGAGGTTACTCGGCTCAGTCAATTTCCCTTATTTTAGGGCTTAGACACCATATGAACAATACCAATCGAATGTCATATTTTTCACCCAAAAAATGAGGGAAATAGCAGAACAAGAGGAAGATCGAAAACCGTTGGTATTGCCAAATACCAAATTTAGTGCCTTCATCAAATATTTTGAAGGAATAGGACACAAGTCACATGTGATTAAAAAACTATTACACTTAGCTCCTCTTTATGTTTTTGCAAAAAGCAGGGCACCCCAATCTTAAAAATTATACGCCACTCAAATTGACCCAATTGCCGTTTACTCAGTTAATGGAACTTGTTTCACCGTTGCAAAATGATTTGACGACTCGTTTCTCCTCTCTGTATCGCTCCGCCATCAACCCCCCAGGAACGACTACTCAAGCTAATCCATCAAAGCGTCATAGTAACCCACGTCATGCACGTATACACTTTCTTCTTCTCACAGGCATGAAGCTCTCTATACCTCTTTAAACCCAAATTCATAATCCTCTAATGGTATTTTATTGATCGTCAAACTAAGTTGCATTGACACTGACACAGAACACGATACACTGACACATGATATGCTGACACATTAATTCTAAAAAATGTCATATTTCGACACGTTAGGACATGTTTTGTTATTAAATAATATTTTTAATATATATAATATAATTTATATTTAATAATATAACAGCCCATAATAAGTCATATTCAAATATTCAAATTTCATAATATAAATATAAACAAAAATAATTTTTCATACCTTGTTAATTTTTCAAGTCAAATTTCAAAACAGAAAAAAAAATGATTTATAAATTAATTTTTCATATTTAGTTAATAAAATAAAATTTAGACCTTAAAAAAAAGTGTCGGATGCGGGTCGGAACGTTGACCGCGTGTTGGAAACTTGGAATGTTGATCGCGTGTTCTAAAATATTGGCTGATTGTTGGACGAGTGTCGGAACATGTCGCAGCGTGTTGGTGTCCGACATTCACCTTTCAAAAATTTTTGCATGTCCGTGCTATATAGACGTCAAGTATACCTCTCCAAAATTAATATCTAATGAAAAACTTGATTCTTTGAAGATTGAAAACAATATGGCTTCCTTGCCCACTTGGTAGCAAAGCGGGGATCTCACCCCGCCCCACTATCAATTCATCAAAAAGTGAGTCAACCTGCCCTGCTGTTGAAAGTGGGTTGGAAAACTCGATCCACTATACCCCGTTTTTGAAAATTGTAAAGTAAAAGTAAAAAAAACTAACAACAATAATAAATGGGTTAGGGATGACCCACCCTGCCCTGTTTGGCAGACGAGGCAGAATGGCCTGCTAGACCTAACATGTTTTGTGAGCCCTTTGATACCCCTCACTACAGTTCCCGCCAATTTATCTAGCGATTGAACAAGCAACACCATCTTATTCCATATAGCGCTAATTCCACGTTCTGAATGCGATTTCGTTGTTTAATCATTCTGTTGTTATCCAAAATGATAATAAAATTATTGAGAGAGAATAAACTATGTTAAAGAAATTATTTTGACAATATTCACAATTTCATGAAATACACGCAAGAAATTGAAACATGCAATAAAACATAATTAAAACGTATCGTACGAAAACATATGAATGCAACAAAGAAAAATTCTGAGCCCAGTATTAAACATTGTGTACTTAAGACAATATTGTCCTCTCTATAGTGCTCAAGATTTGCGAATGATTGTTTCCCAGAATAAAACGGATTACCTCTATTCTTGTGGTAACACTCTCACATTGAATAGTCTCATCGAACTCAACTTATGGTCACATTAGAGTAATGGAATGAAAATACAAAGAAAAAAACTCCTCTCCAAAATCGTGAATCTCTATATATTTATGGGAAACATAAAATCATGTTTGAAAAGACACACTCATTCAAGGATGTAACGACACATCCGTTTATCAAAGAAACTAACATATTTTTTCAATTCAAACTTCTTATTCATAAAAATAATTAATTTAAAAATTAATTCCAACATCTACTACACCATACGTCTTGAGCTTGAAAAGGCATGGAAGTTGTCGTATGGAGGTAAGGTCTCACTATTTGTGGAAACGAAAATGGTTCTTGTGGGCTTGTTGTTCTAAGAATTCATTTCTTTAAGGGAGTGTGATGGGTTATATTGCAAATTGCTTTATTAGGAGGATTCATTTTATTTTATTAGAATCCAAGAAACTCATATTGATCAAGAAGAGAAAAATATCATTCACTACTGAGATCAAATTGACACAAAATTCTGGCACGAAAAGAACATCAGTCAGAGTTAATTTTGGCAGCAAATGAACAGTTCCTGAATGACGTGCCATGATTGTGGAACCATTAGGCAAAGTTATAGAAACTGGTTTGATTTTTATGCAGCAAAGTAAAAGATGAAGATACACATGAAATGTGATCTGTTGCACCCGTGTCTAGGATCCAGTTGATACATGCCTTACCAGAACCTTGAGATGTAGTAGCAAAAGCACTTGCTGATGAAGTATGAGTCATATTGACAGCATGTGTAGGTGCAGCAACCTCTCCATTTTGAATGTGTGTTTGCTGAATCAGATTCAACATATTCTGATATTGTTCTTGTTAAAGAACTACAACATCTTGTTTTTCAGTTTGCATTGCAACACCATCATTCGCATTCATAACAGCATTAGCAGAGGAATTTCTTGGTTTAAACTTGAAACCTGGTGGATAACCATGCTTGAAACCTGGTGGATAACCATGCTTAGCATAGCATGTATCAACCGTATGATTATTCCTTCCGCAATAGGTACATAGCTTCAGATTCAACATATTCTGATATTGTTCTTGTTAAAGAACTACAACATCTTGTTTTTCAGTTTGCATTGCAACACCATCATTCGCATTCATAACAGCATTAGCAGAGGAATTTCTTGGTTTAAACTTGAAACCTGGTGGATAACCATGCTTAGCATAGCATGTATCAACCGTATGATTATTCCTTCCGCAATAGGTACATAGCTTGGTACCCCCTCGATTTTGTGGATTTGAATTTGTTAAAATTCATGTTTCGATTTCCACGTTGATCTGCAACATATGCTTTTGGCAGTAAAGCTTCATTATGGACCTCACAACTCAATTGGCGCTCGCTCTTGTTGTGTAACAAGAGAGAAGGCTTTATTCATGTTCGGAAGTGGTTCAATCAACATGATCTGTGATCGAACACTGGAGAATTGACCACTTAAGCCTTTTAAAAATCGAATTACCTGATCACGCTCTCTTCATCTCCTTATTTCATCAAGAGCACCACAATAACATCTTGGTAATGGATGAAAAGTATAGAGCTCACCCCACAACGTTTTCATTTCAGCGTAGTAATCACTCACTGATTTTTCTCCTTGGTGCAAGCGATTTATCTCCTCTTGCAGGTCTGCAATTCTGAAAACATCAGATTGCGAAAATATTTCACGAAGATCGCGCCACACATCTGCAGCCTTTTCAATCCATAGAATTGATAACGATGAATCCAAGACAACACCATTGTGTTGCAACGCTCCCAAGCTGGAAAAAAGAGGATCATGTTCGTCTGGAACTTCAAAGCTTCCATCCACGAAGCAGAGTTTGTTTTTCAGAAAGGAGAGCCATTTTCATGGCACGTAACCAAGTATGAAAATTACGTCCATTCAAAGGAGGAGCAACAAGAGCCATGGAAGGATTCTCATTGGGATGAAGGTACAAAGAGTTTGATGGATTCATCAAATGATCTGGAAGAGGACTCTGGTTTGCCATTTTGAACAAACTTCAGAGAAAGAAGCAAAATCTTCAACTTCAGATAAAACAAGAATGAAACGAGAACAAATGAAAACAAGAATTGCGATACCAGAGCTCTGATACCATGACAGAATCCAAGAAACTCATATTGATCAAGAAGAGAAAAATATCATTCACATGTATTGTATCACTGATACATAGTTATATACATAAGATGAAGCAATGAATAAAAGAGTTGAGACAGTTACTAACTGTATCAACGTTCTAACTAATCTCCGTAAAGTTAAGAGGTAAATTAACTAACAACTAACTTGAATAATTACATGTATATTCTAAACCATTCTCACCAGTGTGCCAATGAGAAAGGAAAGAGTTATGATATAGGAGGGAACAAAAGAAGGAAACGGGATTATCATTAAGTGGAGAGAACAACCTTCTTGGCTCTCGCAACGTTTCTGTTGACACTTAGCAAGGCTAACTGTCAAAGGGTCAACTGGGGCTAAATGTATTTTGTAAACAAGTTTGGAATGCCTGCCTTCTACACATACTTGATGGGAGAGTCGGTGTAATTTATTTTTAATAAAATTATCAAGTAGAACAGGTTAATTACAGAATCAAAATCCATGATAAAAATTCCCAACATATACAACTGCTATAAACGCTGTTGCATAAAAGCCAAAAGGCATGCTCAAAGTAAAACATAATTATGATCTAAAATAACTCTACAAACATCAGATTTGGAAAAGCATTATCAACCAAGAATAAAACAATTCCCTTCTTATTTCCCTCTTCATAAACGAAGCATCACGCTCCAAGGCTCAAAAAGTGTTCCACTCTCGTTTTGCACCCTACTGTTGCCTGTTAGAATTACCAGGGACTTTCACCATTCAAACAAGCAACTCTGACTTTTAACCCTGCACATAAATAAGATCTTTTCACCAATAAGCATGACTTAGTAAACAAATTACAGATTTTTTCAATACATACTCACCCTATGCAAAGATTGACGATGTTAAAAGAAAATGCAATGGAACTGATTTTCTCAAAAACTAGACTGTGCCTTTGCAGCATACACCCACACAGGTAAACCCCCCAATATTTTTGTTCCCAGAAGTCCTGCCCTCAAACATTAGCCTCCACCAATTCAAGCATTTAACGAATTGTAAGGACAATAGTTCAATTTGTAGAGTGATTTCAATTACGTTGAAACTAAGTAGCCAGGACGGGAATGAAACAACAAACCAAAGCCAACATTCACAGCTTGCAAGTTTGATCCAAAACAGAATCAAGCTTGACCATTTTATTGTTATCTTTAAAACGAAATACATTCACAGAATCCACTAAGCAATTAATTAGTCCATTTAACGATGTCCAGAATTTCAAATCAAAATCATGCAAACACAACATCTTATCTCTTACATATAAGAGAATAAAATTAAAAACTGATAATTAACCACGCGAATAGAAACTATACCCGAGCAAGGTTCAAAACGAACCTCCCAACAAAAATAATAATACTAATAATAATAACTAAAACCCTAAAATCTAAAAATTTGATCTTTAGTTCTTAATTCTTACTAACCGAAACCAATTTCACTTGTACTCGAAATTGGGAACAGGTGGGGCATCAAAACTCTCCAAAATCTTGGTCTCGCTTCCTCCACTCGACGCGGGTTCGTCATTCTTCTTGCCTTCACCGAACCACCCACCGAGCCACGATTTGGTTTCGGAATCCGACGGTGCCGTAACGGGTTGGTTCGCGGGTTGACCCGGTAATCCGTTGGGAGGGTAACCGGGCATGGAATCATCGATCATGACAGGCATCTGTTGCTGAGCGCTGAGGAACTTGTTGAGCATGATCCCGGCTCCTTCAATGAGGGCCAAGAGGACGCCGCCGAACGCGGCTGAGCGCGCCGAGGCGGATAAGCCCTGTCGCATGGAGAGGAAGCCGCCGGTGGCGGCGCCGGCGAAGATGGAGTTCCAGGGATCCTCCTTCTGGCGGAGGTAAACCATGCTGCAGTCGAAGGTGGAGAAGAGGCCGCCCCATACGGCAAAGCTTCCGCCGACACGCGGCGCGTTGAGGCGAACGGCTTGGGTAGCGCCGACGAGGCGGTCGCCCTTGGGAGCGTTGTAGAGTCCCTTGAGGAAATGGAAGGCGGAGCCACCGACGGCGCCCATGCCAAACGCGCCGCCGACGTCGTCGAGGATTCGATCGGGGCAAGGTTCCCGTGAAGTTTCTGGAGTTCCCATCACACACAACCTACGCTGCTCTAGGGCTTTCGATTTGCCTTTGTAAATAATGAAGGAAACCTCTATCTATATATATATATATATATATATATATATATGGAAAACATTTTCTCCTTTAAAAGGAGAAAATTTTTCTTCTATTAAAGATTCATGGCATAAGTGGGGCCTACAAAATATAGTGGAGAGAAAAAAAAATTCAAGGTGAGACCCACTTATGCTATGAGTCACTAGTAGGAGAAAATTTTCTCCTTTAAAAGAAGAAAATATTTTCCCTATATATATGTTATTTCATTATGAGTTTTTTTTTTTAAACAAATTATTAAATAAAACATAATAATGGTTTGAAAAATAAATTGTTTATTCTAAATTAAGGAGATTAATTGGATTGAGATTTTTGAGATTTCAAATAATTTTAATATATTATTTTTGGACAAAAAATTCATTCGTATTTAATCAGGATTTTATACAAAAAAATAATAATCTTATAATATTTAAAAATGTCACGATTTTAATGAATTTTCTATTGGTGTAAATTAAACTCTTATGATTTTTAAAAATCTTATAAATTCGTATTGTTCTTCTCAATCTTATAAATTCTATTAAAATCTTTTTAAATTCAATCTTACGAAATCTTGATTGTAAAAAAAATCTTTTAAAAAAGTTATTAAAATCTTTTCAATTCTGAATAGTCTTTTAAAATTTGTAAGATTTTTTATATTAAAAAAGTCTTTTAAAATCCAAATTCAATACACCCCCGCTAAATTTGGAGGAAAGAGTTAGTTATTATCAAATTAATGCAAATTTTAACTATTATTCTTATGACATTGGTTAAAAAGACACAATATTAAATAAAATTTAAATAATTAATTTATTGAAATTTGAAAACTTAATATATTTGATGATTTCTTTTTCAACAAGTAATTAAAATATTTTTAATAAAGAAAATTAAATGCTACTTAATCGAATGCAAGATTTGGAAATTAGAAGGGGCTATTTTTTTAGTATTTTTGCTTTTGTTGTAAAAAAAAAACTTCTCTCTCCCTACTCATATAAAAGTGAGTACCTGATGCACTTTCAGTTCAGTCATATTGCACATGGCTCAATCATTTATTTGAGAAACTTGTAGTCAACCAGAGTTGTGTTTCAATAAGTATGGCTCAATCGTTAAAGGAAACAGTGATTTGAAATATAACGAATTATGATCAAATTCAAGTCACAATAAAGCAGTAGATATTATTGTGATTTATTTGGCAAGAAAAGAAAAACAACATATTTGACGTGATTTGATATCTAAGATTTGGAACCTGTTTTGAATGATTTAATTATAATTATTTATTTATTTTTAAAATTTAATTACTATTATATTTATCTTAGAAAATTTTCTTATTTTTAGGATTTTATATTTTTGAATTTTGGATTAATTTGTAATTTGTCTATAAAATGGTGCTTGTAAACCTTATTGTATGAGTTAATATTGTGTTACTTTGATAATTATAAATATTATATTTATCTTAGGAAATTTTCTTATTTTTAGGATTTTATATTTTTGAATTTTGGATTAATTTGTAATTAGTCTATAAAATGGTGCTTGTGAACCTTATTGTATCAGTTAATATTTTGTTACTTTGATAATTATAATTGAGAACCGGAGGGTTACTCTTTTATGAAATTCCAACTTTCTGTTTAGTCACTTTTCTATGCGCTTTTAGGCATCATTTGGTATCTGAGCACTAGGTTGCCTTTATCCAATGGTTGAACAGAATCGTAGAGTTCATCGATGGCAAAATCGTGAAGGCAAGGGACATGGATTTCTTCCTAGAGAAGACAAACATCGTAGAGGTCATCGATGGCGGAGTCGTGAAAGCAAGGAATATGGATTTGTTCCTCAAGAAGACAGACAACCGCGTCAGATAGACCTGCGTGACATAAAAAATGAATAGCTCGGAAGGCGGATTCAGGATTTGAAGTGACAACTTGTGTAGACGCAAAGCATGAAAATCCAATTTTTGGAGCGAACACTTGTGCGGGCCAGAGCAATAAAATTCAAGATTTGGAGGGATAACTCACGAAGGCCCATACCGAGAAAATCCAAATTTTAAAGTGACAACTTGTGGAGCCGCATAACATAAAAATTCAAGATTTGGATCAACGATTTGCATGGGCAAAATTGGGCTTTCAATCCGAAGAATGAAAGGAAAGAGAGGACGCATCTGATGATGAAGATGAGGGCGTCAATCCCTTAGGGATTCTAAACAAGGGACATAACTCGAAAGTACGACTTGAAAATGAGTTCACTTTTCAATAAATCGATATGCAACTCAACCGTCATAACTTTGAAGTCTATGATCATAATCTGGTTTATGATGATTATCCGACCTATGATAATAATCCAATTTATGAATATGATAATAATTCAATTTATGATGATTATCCCATTTACGATAATTCTCCGATTTATGATGATTATCCAATCTACAATGATTATTTTGTTTAGGATACTCTAATGGAGAATTAGATGATAGAGATTTAATTGATTAAGAATTTCCATTTTTGTTTATACCTAAAGATATTGAGATATGTGAAGATAAAGAAGATTCGAGGATGAATCTTTTCCTTGCAAGGGAGAATGATGCACTTACAGCTAACCCATTGCACATGACTCAACCATTGGTTTAAGAAGCTCGCAGTCCACTAGAGTTGTGTTCCAATAAGTATGTCTTAATTGTTGAAAGAAGAAGTAATTTGAAATATAACAAATTACAATCAAATCTAAATCCCAATAAAACAGCAGATATGATTGTAATTTGTTTGACAAGAAAATAAAAAGCAATACATTTGATGTGATTTGAGATCTAAAATTTGAGACGTGTTTTGAATGATTTAATTGTAATTATTTATTTATTTTTAAAAGATAATTACTATTATGTTTATCTTAGGAAGAGTTCTTATTTTTAGGATTTTATATTTTATGTTTTATATTTTAGGATTGTAATTAGTTTATAAAAAGTTGCTTATGACCCTAATTGTAGGAGTTTAATATTTTATTCTTTTGATAATTGTAATTCAGAATCGGTGGATTACTCTTTTATAAAATTCTAATTTTTTATTTAGCCATTTTTTCTATTTGCTTTTCGTCATGAGTACCATTGATATTTTCTCTCTTTTCTATTTACAATAAAACTCATTCATTTTTATATAAATGTAATAGAAAATTTTATTCAGCAGTAAAAATAGAAATAATTTATTATTATTATTATTATTACTGAGTACTAAGTTATGCTCACGAGTATTGTTATAAAACTAATCATTCCAACATCATCGCAAGTTCGCAACTAAAAACTTCTCCAAATAATTGTCTTCTTTTGAAATTTGTTCATATTCTTACGACCGCGAGTTACTTACCAGTAACCATCACAATCAACTTTTTTTTTTCTTTGTTTTTTTTTCGGGTACAATCACCACAAGCAACCTTTATTAGTAAAAGGGATTGGTATAGCAATTATAGGTTGGTAATGGGCCAACCCAATTTGCACCACTTCGATCCATGGTGAGACTAGCCCCCTAGTTAGTGGCTTGATCTTCCAATCTCTTTGTCCTTTTTTCCCCTCTCTTTTTATCCTTTTCTTTAAAATAAATTATTTAGAGTCCTGGATTTTTTTTTTAATTTTTTGGATAAGATAACTAGTAAAAAAAGATTAAAATAGTATTTAAAAAATAGGCGAATTAGTTTATTACAATTAATTCAATCATACAATTAATTCAATCTACGGATTAAACCGCCAACCCAATAATTACAATTTGATTGCTTTATATAAAATGCTATGCACATATAACATTAGTGTATATTCCTTTCGCAGTTCACACTAATTTAACTCCTTAAGTTTGACCTTACATATTTGCATGTAAGATCTAATATTTACGAGTACAATTAAATTCAAAAATCTTTTAAACAAGTATGAATTGCACTTGTTCCTAAAGTGGCCTGTGAGAAAATTTTAGAGAGAAAAACTATAACACATAATCTAAGTTTGATTTCTAAAATGTGCTCATTTTCAGGCAACTATTCGTAAGATAGCTAATTGAGGTCAATCAAATTAGTTAAACGAAAATAAATTCATTACTTACATAACATGAAACATTCTAAAATCATGTCTGAGACTACAAAACAAAGGGAAAGAGGGAAAATGGAAACATTATATAAAGACGTAGGTTTGCTACCATGCCATGCCATGTTGCACATATTAGCAATGCAATGGTTTTTGGGTGCAACGGGAGGTGTTCCCTTGTCAAAAAGGGAACAAAAGAGGATATTAAAAAAAAAAAATAGTTTAAATGCATTATTTTTTTCATATTTAATAAAAAGTGTATCGAGTGATCTGTACATCTGTAATACTGAAAATATTTTGGTAGCTAGAAATAGCCTACTGATTTATCTATAAATTCAAGACATCAATCTAAAATACTTTTATTTATTTATTAGTTTAATACTATATCACTTAACTATCACTTGTCATCACTATTTGTATTAGTGTAATGGTGTTTTAATCTCAAATTAATAAATAATATTTAAAATATTAAATTCATGTCGATAAAAATTAATAATCTAAGGCAATTTTTATTTTATAATTTATAAATTTTTATTCGGATTCAACCTTATCATATCATAACCATATTCTATTACATCATGAATTAGTTCATCGAACGACTCGATAATCGATTCCTTCCTTATTTTCAGAGTAAATTACATTCTCCTCCTTTTTTTGAAAAGAGACTTAAAATATATCATATTTTTTATATTAAAAAATTACAGTTCCCCTAAATAGATGAATATGTACTACACTTTAGTCTACTTTTATGTAAATGAGTCTTTTATGAATTGGTGTTCTCTCTCTTTGAGTGAAAAAAACGATTTTGAGTGAAATCCCAAAATTGGTAATAAAAATATTTAAAATTTTATTTTATCTTTTAAAATCTTAAATTTAATAATAAGATGTTGAAAATCAAGAGTTAATAACATTTTGACTTTATGAGTCACAGGCAGAGAAAAACAATTTCTTCAAAAGTTCATCTATAAATGCCTATCACATTTAAGAGATTTATTTACGTTAAAATAATTTATAGTTTTATTTTTAAAAAGTGTAATTTTGAAAAATAAATGAGAGGATAATATCATTTAAGGGGTTTGATTTTCTCATGTTGAATGAGAATTCAATTCTCATGTTGTAGAGATAAAAAATATGTGGGACCCATGTGTTAGAAAAAATTATATGTAAGACTCATGTCAGCACGAAAATCGAAGAGTGTGTAGGAAAATTTTAATTCTCATGTTGAATGAGAATTATAAAACCCATCATTTAAATATACTTTAACGAAGGAAAGTGTAATTAGCTTTGTTATTAAAACAGTTTTGTCTCTACCGAAAAAAAAAAAAAACAGTTTCGTCAAGTTATATACAACTTTAAACAAGGAATTATAATCGCTTCTATGGTTTATATACATGCGGTTGGTTTAACACCTGAATAAAAATAGCGTTGTTTAACACACGTTTGAGACTAAAAATTTGTATGGAGATCAAATCACATCTAAAGTGCAAAATCAATGAGATATTTTGTCAAAAGTAGTATTCTTAAATGATGCGTAAATTGTCTTCTTAGATAGGGTTCCGTAGAAACTTGTTTATAGCCCAAAATCAATGATGAAATTTGGGAATTTTCAAGGTTATTGGATCATCATTATGTTTATTGTATTTTCTTTTGATTTGATATGACCATCACAAATTATAATTTATTTCCTATATTTCGCTATAATTTCTTAAATTGCGCAAAAAAAAAAAAATTCAAATAAATGGTCATGAATCCTAATTTCTTTTTTCAATTTTTCTTTTATAATATTCAAGGATGATATTACAAAAAATATCATTTTTTTTTATTATGTACAGTCTATGATATTTGCAACCTCCATCCAAAGATGTATTTTAAGTAACACTAATTAGACAATTAAATGAGACGATCACAATTTCAACCTCCATTCAATCATTTTCTTCTTGATAACATGACTGCTTAAAATATCTATTAGAAGTACGCAAGACAAGTTTAGTTTCACTAGAATAAAAAAAGACAAGATAAGATTAGAAAAAGGAACAACAAATTCGTACATAACATGACTCATCAAACTCCATTTTCTTCTTTGTGTGGCAAGGTCAAAAACAAAAAATCATCATGGTCTTTTGTATCCGTTCTGGAAAGGAAATGAAAGCTACGAAATAAATTCCAAAAACCAGACGATGTTTTTATTACCACTCTCAGAAAAGCACAAATTGTTGGAAGACATTCATCTGATCTGCATGACCATGATCCCTTTCTTCACGCACCTGCACTCAAAATTAATATAAATAATCAAAAAAGTGGGAGAAAAAAAAAAAAAAAAAACACAAGAGGTGCATGCGGTGTTGCCTTTCCTTCTCCGTCAAACAAAAACAAAAACACTTTCCTTTTCATATCTCAGAGTCTGTGTTTTATAATTGCACTGCATTGCATCCCCAGCTAGCAAATCCAACCCAACCCAACCCACGTGCTCTCTCATTTCAAAGTTTTTGTCTTTTTTCTCATTTCAATTCATCCCAATTGCCCAAAAACGCTGTCGTTTTCTGGGCATCTCTCACCCTGTGGAATTTCTTGCAAAGGGTAGAGAGAGAGAGAGAGAGAGTTGTGATGTAGAGAGGTTGATCCCAAATGCACACGTACAACCGGCTACCAAGCAGTGGCCACTCGACTCCGTCGCCTCCGCCGTCACCGCTACGGTCGCCAAGGCTCCGCCACGGGCGGTCTAAGACTGGCCGGTTCTCTCCGGTTCAGGCGAGTGGTCGAACCGTTGCACATAGGCTGAGTTGGATGTTCGTATCGGTCCTGCTTCGGCGGCAAGGGGTGTTCCTATTCGCTCCTCTGATGTACATCTCCGGCATGCTTCTCTACATGGGAACCGCCTCATTCGACGTCGTTCCGGTCATCAGGCACCGCCCTGCTCCTGGCTCCGTCTACCGCAGCCCTCAGCTTTATGCCAAGCTTCGTCCCGACATGGATTCCGATAATTCTTCTGCCGATGCGGTTCGATTCCCCTTTTTCTCTTCCAAATTCATTTCAAATCTTCGCGCGCCTGTTTTAATTTATTTTTTGTCAATTTTCAAATCTGTTCAATTTTAATATTTTTTTTTTATTTTTTGTCAATTTTTGAAACCAACTTTTTGCCCATTTTAATGTAGATTTCAAATATAGCTTTGGCCTTTGTTTTTTGTGATGCATTTTTCTGGTCAAATTGTTTACCAGGTCTGAATCTAGTGGCTAAATATTGAATGGCAGTATTGCAAGTAACTGACTCAGGAAGTATTTTTTTTTTTTTTTTTTGGAGATATTCCGATCGATTCTTACCTTTACGAGCATGTCCTGGAATTAAGGCTTTAAACCCCTCCCGGGATTGAGGAAGTACTTTAAAACTGGGTGATAACTGATTTCTAATAGAGGACATTGATGCTAATTGTCCTTTTGTTTCGTATATGATATGATGTTGGGTTAGCTAATTGAAAGCCGTTTAATAATTTTTTCTGTGTTAGAATATTAGGAGTTTTATTGGAATTGGCTTGTATTAGTTGTACTACATATGTATATGTTTTTACTTGACCTAGATTATTGTTATAATTAGGAGTACAAGGTTAATGTTTTATATTATACGTATTGATATATAGAGCTTGGTAAGGAAGCTGAATGTCACCAGAGAAAAAGCCATTGGCTGAAGCATCAAATTTCTTGTTGCTGCTTTCTTCTATGCCATTGAGTTTTTCTTGACTTTTGAGCTTCTGGCACCTAAAATTATTAGCTGTATAGGTATATTTTTAAGCTCCTGTAAGGATAATTTCTTCAGAGTCTTTCATATCGTTCTTAATTATGGCCATCCACTAGTTATTAGAGAATGTTTGTTTCTCATCATGCATCTTTGTTTTCTAATTATACTTCTTCTTTCAAAATTTGAGTCTTTTGTTGGTTTCTTCTTCTATAGTACTGTATTGATCTTCATACTTTTGCAATTTTATTTATTTACTTTTTTGGGCCAAATTGTCTACTTTTGGTGACAAGCTAGTAAACTTCCTTTCAGATATCAACAATATGGAAGAGTCCGTATAAAGGTGGTCGATGGAAACCATGTGTAAACAGATCTTCAGAAGGTATAATAAGATTTGTGTTGATGCACAGTAAATGAGGACATTTTTCTTTTTCTCTCATTTTTTTCTATATAATTATTTAACTGCTTTTGGTACCATTGATTTGTCTATTCCTTATTGGTAGATTTACTAAGTTTATGCACTCATTTGGTTCCTTTGGTTGGAGCTGAATTCTTGCATTTTAAAGGACGTCTCGTTTCCCCCAAAACTTATTTTTATTGCATCTCTTGCGTATTAAGCTCACAGTTGTGTCATGGGCTTGCTCTTACTGACATTCAGAGATTGGGTAGCCTCGCTACACTCTTGAGTCTTTACATGCATTTTGTTCTGTGATTCTGTCTAATCTTTTCTGTTCTGAAGGATATATTTTTCTCACCCTCCTATTTTTCCTCTCTTCTCTGATCAAATTTTCTTCTCCTATCTAAAGAAAAAAAATTGGGAGGTAAAATCTTTTTGTTGAAAGCACTAAATTGCCAGTTAATTTATGAAATCGACCATTCTTGTCAGGATACCTTTAGGCATAAATTGATCTTGTTGGTTGTTGCTGTATATTTTTTATTTTTTAATATCTGGGAAACATGCCTGTATCATCTGCCAGTGTATGGTGTTTTTTTAACTATTTATGTATATTTCTTATGTTGTTGATAGGCCTACCTGAATCAAATGGATACATTTATGTAGAGGCTAATGGTGGCTTAAATCAGCAAAGGACATCAGTTAGTGTTTTCATATATCCAAAGCATGCTTAATTTTTCTTACTCTTGACTCATTTATTTTGTGAATGATGTCAATGCTTCATAGGTGTGCAATGCTGTTGCTGTGGCTGGCTATCTCAATGCTACCCTTGTAATCCCCAATTTCCATTATCATAGCATATGGAAAGATCCTAGGTTGGTTTGTTTTGCTTTCATTTAATTTTAGTTTTTCAGGACTAGGAAAGTCTAGTGATTTATGTTGGAATAGGGTTAATACTTTTTTGACTTTTGATTTAATTATATTATAAATGTGTTTTTTCCACATGCTGTTGTAAAAAACAAAATTAAATAGAGAAATAAAATTATTTATGGAGAGAAAAGAGGGAAGTACAACTACAAGAGGATAAGAAATCCTCCAAAACAGGAAAAGTGGAAAACCTATATCCAACAAGGGACATCATAATCAATTGGGTGTTACGATTCCCAATATTCTCAAGAAATCATATATTAAGTTGAAATCCCCCAAAATATTTAGACGTAATAGACATAGTAATCTAGGCTAAAATCCATATAGGATTAAATCTACTGCACTCAAGAGATATTAGGAGATAAAAGGATGGGCAAAAGACATCTGAATTACTGTAGAACAGCCAAAAGAAGGTTAGTTTCTGCATAGCAACCAGGGGAAATAGAAGAAAATTTTTCATGACAAAAAAACTGATCTATCCTGTATTACGGCCATGAAATACCTTTAGACAGAGTGAGCTTTCGGCTGAATATTTATGTAAAAGTTAAGCAAAACCAAACATCTGTGACTTTGCTTCATTATTTTCTTAAGAAGTTGTGCATAAGTGCACATCCACAAAAACATTATTACAAATGCATTATTATCATGAAAATTGGATTCCAAGATGTCCAATAGATTGTCATTGGAAACTACTTGTTAAGATTTTCTTTCTATGTTAGTTAAACAACTATTTTTATGAGATGAGCTAGTTTGGGTTAAAGGTGATGTTGATGTCAATTAAGTAGTTAAAACATTTAAACAAAGATTCTGAAATCTTAATATCTTCGTTGATGATCGCATGATTTATTAGAGGAAATTTCCCAGTGTTGAATATGACATTTGTTAAGCTGTTTTTCAGATGGGAATATTATGCATTTATGCTAGCCCTTTTAAAATGCAAGGGTAAGGTTGCTCCTTGTGACTGGAAGGTCACGAGTTCGAGTTTGGAAAACAGCCTCTTTGCTAAAAATGCAAGGGCAATGTTGTTTACAATCGACTCTCATCCCTACCCTCCTTGCAAGTCGGGGAGCTTAATGCACCGGGTGTTTTATTAGCGCTTTTAAAATTTCTTGGTATTTATAATGATGTTGATCAAGGTGTTTGTTTAGTTTGAAACAGACTAAACGGATCCATAATGTTTCATGTGTCCAGCAAATTCAGGGACATTTATGATGAAGAATATTTTATCAGTACCTTGAAAAATGATGTACGGGTGGTTGACAAGATTCCCGAGTTCCTAATGGAAAGATTTGGCAGCAACATGACAAATGTACACAATTTCAGGATCAAGGCATGGTCATCCATTAAGTATTACAGAGATGTCGTACTCCCCAAGTTACTTGAAGAAAAGTGAGTGTATGATTTTGTTGTATGAATTATATCCTTGTTATTGATCTCTAACAGTTAACAGTGAAGTTTCTAGTAATTGGTACTTGTCCAAGGTATATGGAAGAAGAAAGAAAGGAGTGCACAATGTTGTGGTCTATTTGCTGTAGTGTGGTGCATTCGGTTTCATTGACATGCTAGGTTTCTTTGTTATGTATGATTATCTGTGCACAGAATAGGATTATTTGAGCTTCACCTGAGCGGCTTTGCAGTTACACATGCTCTGTTTTGAGCTGATGTACTTTTCATGTTTTGTGTTAAGGAAATGATTCCTTATCCTCCTCTGATATTTTATTCTTTCTATCTTGATAAAATTAATTTTCTAGAAATTTATTTTTTGGCCCACATTTTTGGGCAACATTAGCAAAAATTTATAATTAAATATGTTGGCCCTCTCGTTGGTTATCTGTTTGGATTTGTGTTTTGACTCAGGTCGATGAGTAGAGCTCATCCCAAAAGAATAGCTTATTGGGAGGGAGAGTCTTACGGCTTAAGCAACAGATTGAACCTCTATCTTTACTCAATGTGGACATAAGAAATAGCAGATAGTTTTACCATAAAAATGTTATTATTACCTTAACATATAAACAGGAAATGTATTATCAAATATGTTCATTATATCAAGAGAAGGAGGCTGGAAGTTTTGAAGTATGTATTGAATTCAATTTTATTCGTGCAGGGTTATAAGGATTTCACCTTTTGCGAATAGATTGTCATTTGATGCCCCTCCAGTTGTCCAGCGTCTCAGATGCTTAGCAAATTACGAGGCTTTACGATTTTCAAGTCCTATATTGACCATGGGTGAATCTTTGGTTGAAAGAATGAGAAAACGTAGTGCCATTAATGGCGGTAAATATGTCTCCGTACATCTTCGTTTTGAAGAGGTTAGTTGTGATCAGATATGAATGTTAATATTAATTATGATGGTTGACATTACATTGTTAGTCTTTGCTGCTACTGTTGTCACATTGCTTCCCATGAGCAGGATATGGTTGCTTTCTCTTGTTGTGTTTTCGATGGTGGAAAACAGGAGACAGAAGACATGATTGCAGCAAGAGAAAGAGGTTGGAAAGGGAAATTTACGAAACCTGGACGAGTTATCCGTCCTGGAGCGATCAGGATCAATGGGAAGTGTCCCCTCACCCCATTAGAGGTAATTATCTCCTTAAAACCCTAGTGTTTTTAGTCCGTAAAAAGAGGAAAAACTTTTCAGGGAATGTTTTTTTTCTTTTTGGAAGTTGTTGTCTAGCTAGAAGTTTCAAAAGTTTTCTGCAAGGTGCTCTTTAAACAGCAAATTTTGTCAAATTTCCCCCCTAATTCCATTTGTTTTAATTGTAGTTATTGCCATTGTCCATCTTTTTAGGTTGGCCTGATGCTGAGGGGAATGGGTTTCACGAAGAACACGTCTATCTTTTTGGCATCTGGAAAAATATATAATTCTGAGAAAACTATGGGCCCACTGCTTGAAATGTTTCCTAATTTGCATACTAAAGAGACTCTGGCATCTGAAGAGGAACTTGGTCCATTTAAGGTACAGATTTGTACTTTACGTTATTCGTCCCCTCCAGGATTGGTTTAGTGCTATGATTTTGACTTGCTTTCCTTCTTCTAGAATTATTCTTCCAGGATGGCTGCCCTAGATTACACTGTTTGTCTTCATAGTGAGGTGTTTGTCACAACTCAAGGGGGGAACTTCCCTCATTTTCTGCTGGGCCACAGAAGATACTTGTATGGTGGACACTCTAGGACAATTAAACCTGATAAGCGGAAGTTAGCAATACTTTTTGATAATCCCAATATAGGGTATGTATCATTACATATTGGTATATTTCATTTTGTTCAATTTTACGAGGCTAGAATAATTTGGACAAGCTCCCCCCCCCCCCCAAAAAAAAAAAAAAAAAAAAAAACCCATCCTGACATATTTCTTGTTGAAATTGAAAATAGTTACAGTTACGATTTCATCATGTGATGTCCAAAGGAGTAGATATTTTTACAAGATTATGTTAGAATAAAGTATCTTTATGATTATCGTAACACATTCCTGGAGGTAATTCACACGGAAAACTATTGGATAAATTAGGCTACTGAGCTATGCCTTGACTTCCAAGAAATATCTCCTTTATAGAAGAATTATGCTACTTTGCAATTCTTGCCTTTACAACTTTGTCCAACTGTACTTGAGACTCCAATTGAGTTAAAGAGGAAAAAGTTGAGAGTCAGTTGGAAATGCAATAGGTGATTAGGTAGCATTTCTCTTTGTAGATAGTTTAGTTTTTCTAGAAATATATAGCTTGGTCATTGTGCTGTTAACTCCATAGGACATTGTAAACAATTCTGACGTATTCAACTAGGTCTGTAGCTGTTCTTAAAATAAGTTCTGAAGAATTTTTCTTTATATAAAGTATCTGAAGTGTCCCCACTCTACTTTTATTATTTTCCAGATGGAAAAGTCTCAAGCGTCAACTGCTGAACATGAGGTCACATAGTGATTCCAAAGGAGTTGAGCTCAAGAGACCAAATGACTCTATATATAGCTTTCCATGCCCAGATTGTATGTGCTGTGCCAATAGAACTGATGATTCAAGATCTTCATCAGTAACTTGATCTACTCACAGAATTTGATTGATGTGTCTGTTACCTATGATTTTGTGAGCATGCCTTGCTGCTGAGCACATTTCTGGTATTCGGATTATTTCATTTTTTCCCATTCCATCTGGCGAGAGGGCATACACTCCTTTTTTGGAGGTCAAGGGATTTTGTTGAAGGTCTCATTGATCTGATTATATATTTGGATTGAATTTCAAGGGAGTGGCATCTCTTTTGCACATGATGCCAATTCAGAACAGAATGGAAACCATTCCTTTACAGGAATCTCTCCCAGAACATTGACTGAGCTATGTTTCGTGTATGAATTGGCAGCTGCTATATCGAACAAGCTGTTTAAAGAGTCAAAGGACAAACTCACGTTCCTTCACACCCTGCATGTACATTTACCTGGAGTATGATATTCATGTGTTAAGGCTGTATCAACCAAATGCTCTCTGTACATTCACAAAATTCAGGGTCCTGCCATACTGTTTTCTTTTTCTGTTTTAGGTTATTTTCCCCCTTTATTCATGTTATCAATTTTGTATTTTGTTTGCCCTCATATTGAGGGCCCCGTTGTTAGTCACTTAGTTGTGTACATGTATCTGAGCACATTTGTTATTCTTTTACATTGGTGCCCCATTGTTTTAGTGATGATACCAGTGAATGTAATTAGTTCAAAATTCATAACTAGCAATTTGGAAAGTTTGCCCAATATTGTTGTGAAGAGACCAAATCTAAATCATACTCTCTCATATAACATCTCAGAGATGGAAAAGATGGGGGCAAAAAAGCCAGGGTTTTGGTTGGGGGGATCGGAAGATAAGTCTCTAACAAGTAACTTGATACAATGTTTAAAAGGATTGATACTTTATATCTCGTTGCTGAGGGGAATAGGACCACAAAATGAAAAATGATGCAGCAAAAATTCCCATAGTATATGACCAATGGGTTTAATTTTTCTGCTTCTCTCACAGATTTTTTTTTTTTTTTTAATCATACTCATAAAAATGAGTGAATCTCTTAGTAAAGAGAAAAGATTAATGAGATTCACTCATTTTTATGAGTGTAGCAGAAATTGTTTTGAATAGCTGAAACATTTTTTCCATAATAAGTTGAAGAAAATTTTAACAAAGATCTCAGTGAAGACAGACATATATATCAAGAAAGTAAATCATCAATAGTATCCCAAATTTTTTCGGCGATGTAATACACAAGTCACAAGCTTCATCATTTGATATGCTTAAATGCTCAGAACCAATAAAGAACACATTTATTACGGCAAATCTGAAATAAAGATCCTCCTCGCTGTCACAAGTACAAGAACAGAAACATTATTTAAATATCTCGCATGCATGTTTGCTATGCTATAGCAAAAATAAAAGACAGCTGAATTCCAATGACATTCAGAACAAAATCCGCTGAAGACATAATTTATAGAAGAACTTGTACTGATTGAAAAGGATGTTAGTTTTAATGAAGTGATAATTAGCCCAAAAGTAAAAAGAATGAAATCATAACAAAAAAGTTTAAGATCTCCGTAATGACAAGATTAACATTGGGAGTTCAAATACTTAGAACATAATGCATATTTTGATTTGTTTATTTTAAGATTAAAAAACTTTTAATTTAAGCCTTTTTGAGAGAGTTATTTTTTTTTAAAGCGATTATTTTTGAAATTTTTTTTATACCAAATATGCTGTTACGGTTATACCTAGTTATAGTTGGATTGGATCTGAAATTGTAAAGGAGTTGAATTTATTTGCAAAATTACCCTTAATTAGCTTTCATAATTATAATATTTTCATTGTAAAATAATTTAAAATTGAAAAAAAATATTTATGAAGACGGCATTAATAAATTTTCATAATTACAACAATATTATCTCAAAAATAGTAAAGATAAATTATTTTCTAATTTTAATTTAAAAAAATAAAAAATTATTATTATTTTAAGAGTTATTTTTACGAAACAACAAGCTTTTTTTTTTTTTTTTTTTTCTTGTTCTTATAAGATAATTGTATATAATGACGGAGTCACAAAATTTTATAATTTTTTCAAGTTATAATTACTTACATCACTAACAAAACTGAAATAATAACTATATATTTCCGTAAATTTGGGCATGAGAAAAAAAAATATAACTACATGCTTGCATAAATTTGAGGGGATAGCTGAAATTAACCTCTTCCACCAACCTCGTTGTAGGCTTTATGTAGAATACAACAAGTAATCCCAGTTTCATATATTCAATTTTTCATCTTGTACCTAGTTTGCAAATCACCCAATTCACAACTGTCCACTGGGTGAGTCTTGGCTGATAACTTAGATTTTCCGTCCTTTCTTTTTCAAAAATCTCGATTTTCAAAAATATAACTTTTATATTCAGTTTACGATAATATCCAAAAATTAAAAATTTAAAAAAATTCAGTTTTTTTGAAATCTTAAAAAAAGCTTTGTACCGAATGCCCCCTCAAAGTTGTATTGTTTCTTCCTTTATCACAAAGTGACTGAATACAAAAGTAATTATCAATCCACATTTCATGGTCATTTTTCTACATTTTCTCGTGAAAAAAAAATATGTCATTTTAAATAATATAAATTATAATATAGGTCTCATAGAATAAAAATAAAGATAAATAAAAATAAAAATACAAGTCTCTTTTCTTTATGCCTATAAAATAACACAACCTGTATTAACACACTTTTTCTTTTCTCATACACCAATTGCAAAATATAGAAAGAATTTAGGGGTGTTTGATATGAGTATTTTGTTTGAAATGATGGAAAAACGAAATGAAAAATATTTTTTGACCATGTTTAGTACAATGAAACTTAAAAAATTACAGCAAAATTATTTTTCTATCATTCTCATTTGTAACTACATACTTCAAAAAAAAAAAAAAAAATTCATTCCATCCATAGTAATGTTTTTTCCCATGAACTTAGAATCTTATTTTAATTTTTTTAGACAAAACTGCCCTGTTGTTTTAGAATCTCATTTCAAAATAATGAGTACATTTATAATTTGAGATCAGATTTCCATCAATATTTTGCTATTAATGAAATATAAAATCAATAAAATTAATTCAATTTTCTCAAAAAAAATTTTACTTACCAAATACCTTTTCATAATAGAATTTTTTTTGTTTTACCAGTAAATTGTTTTTTTTGGTGTACCAAACACCGTCACAAGCTGAGATAACACGACCAAAAAAAAGATTGAATGCAAAATGATTCAAGAGCATGAATTCTCGTGCACCGGCATGGTCTAAGCCTCGGGGTCAGTGCAACTTAAAAATTGTAATAAAAACATATTTTTCCTTTTGATCCTGATTATTTTTAGCTTTTGAATAATAATTATTCTGAGTACTTAAATATACATAAAATTTTAAAATATATTTGAGAAAAAAAATATTGCAAATTATAAAAAATGTATACATGATTAATTAATTTTTTAATTTAAAATAAATAAATATATATATATATATATATATATATATATATATATATATATATATATATATATGACGAAGTTTGCATTTGTCATTTAGCATGACATAACAAATTTTTCTACACACACAACATTTTGTGGGGTTCACACTTTTTGAAGAAAAAAAAAAATTATGACACGCAAAACAAATCTCTATGACATTACACAATCACTTTTCATACAATATAACTCTTACATAACTTTTATAAAATCCATATAAGATATGCAAATACAAAATTTTAAAATTTGTTCTGATATTTTTTTTTTGATAACATGTTCTGATATTTTTTAGTAATGAACAAAGCAGATTAAGTGGTCCAGTGTATCTTAAAAGATCGCAATCAAACCAATAAGGATAGATTAAATCGTGAAAATTTGACCTATTGAGCTTGCAATTATAATGCTTACCTAGACAAGTACAACATCGTAAACATTTTTACATTGGATCTCAATTCTCACGCAAAGCTCAAGACAAGATGGGTGTACTCAGTTCGGATCAGCTCCAATTCTTCAACTCTAAAGGTACCCCTTTTTTTTGCTTTAATTTTTTTTTTCTTTTAAGTTTCGAGCATAATTCCTAGTCCTCAACAAACCAAACAAACAAACCAACCATAACCGTGTTACATGCGCAGGTTATCTTGTAATTGAATCATTTGCTAGTAAGGAGGAGATTGAGGCCATGATGAAGAGGATGGAGCAGTTGGTGGATGAGTTTGATCCTTCCTCCACTGCCTCTATTTTCTCCACCAAGAATCAGGTTACTCATACCTTCCTTTCCTCATACTTTTCATTTCAAACCTTTTTTGTGTGTGTGTGTGTGTGCTTGATTTGGAGTATTTATCTGTTCTCTTTGCTCTTATTTTTCAGCAACAGTCGACTGATGATTACTTTTTCGAGAGTGTGGAGAGAGTTTCGTTCTTCTTCGAGGGTATTGAAAAAAATTTAATCTTTTCGGTTTTAGTGTAATTTGGGTTCCCTTAAAGTTTTAATCTTTTCTCTGTTTCTCTTTTGGTAGAGAAAGCTTTTGGGGATGATGGTAACTTAAGGCAACCGAAGCAACTCTCCCTTAATAAAGTTGGCCATGGTAACTTGAGTATTCTGATATTCTCTCTCTCTCTCTCTCTCTCTGAAAAATAATTTGGGGTAGTATCTGTTCACACTACATGTTGTTGAATTAGTTAGTTTAGGAAAAATATGTGAAAGACAGTGGGGGCATTACTTGTGAATGTAAGAGATGTAAGAGTAGCATTATTCCTTCTAAATTGATTCAGTTTCCTTTGAATCTAGCTTTTCTTTTTCGTGGGCTGAGGGTGTGTTGTGATTTTGTGCAGCACTTCATGAGATTGAGCCCGCATTCAAGAAGTTTTCTTCTTCTGAGAAACTTTCAAGTTTGATGTATTCCTTGGGTTACAAGAGACCAGTAATCATGCAGTCTATGTACATATTTAAGGTAAATTTTCTTCTGTCTTTGGGACGTTCAATTCTGATTATATGGTTGAAATAACTTAAGTTTAATGTTTTATGTGATTATGAGCAATAGATATGTGAAATGTTGGACATTATGTGCTCTTTTACTTTCCTGATTTGGGGGGGTTAGGGTAAGGGGGTTGTATGATTTGGTTCTTTAAATTGTACACTGATTGGGTAGTGAATGTTTGAATGAAGCTTGAAATTTGCGGTGTTATTTTGGTTCAGCACATGGATATTTTTGGTATTGGGTTGTTCACCTCAGAAATAAAATTTGTGTGTTTCTTCCAAATGGCATATATTTTAGTAGATTTTGAATGATGGGTTTTGTAGATATACCAACTCAGTGAAAGTTACTTTTGATTAACCATCTAAATTTATTTGCTCACTTTTGAATTTGATTTGATTTTGTGGTCCTTTGGATATATTTTGGGTTGGTTATTTCAACATTGCTATGGTTTGAACTTGAAGAACCACCCAAATTTTAATATGTAGTTAACATATCAAAGCTGGTTGAATTTCTCTTTCTCAATCATGCTATGATGAGCATTTTGTGCTCCAACCAGTTTTTACTGGAGTTCTGGAAACATGCTATGATTTTTTCTTTTCTGAACTGCATTAAAATGAACTAGCAGAAAACTCGTGCTTCTTTGGTATGTTTTTCTGACTGATGGAAACTGCTATTCTTGTTTATTTTTATGTATAGGAATTTGTTTGTTGTGAGTATTTGATGTTTCGAATTTGAAAAAAAATAAAATAAAAATTGCAGATATGGGTATGTGCAATTTTTAAATGGAAGGACTGTCTTAGTATAGATGTATTTCATGCCTGGTCATTATCATAACCTGATCATAAATCTTTATTGGCAGCAACCAGGCATTGGAGGTGAAGTAGTGCCACACCAGGACAACTCATTTCTTTATACTGAACCACAAACATGCACGGGGCTGTGGCTGGCTCTAGAAGATGCTACCATAGTAAATGGTTGCCTGTGGGCAATTCCTGGATCTCACAAAAGTAGCTTTCTTCTTCTTTTGGTTTATTCGTTGCCTGGATCATTAATCCTTTGCTTTGTTTGATCAGATCTAATATTTTTTCTTTTCTTTTTTATTCTTTGGTTGCTGTAGAGGGGCTTGTTAGAAGGTTCTTAAGAGATGAAGATGGTGTCAAGTTTGATCGACCATCACCAACTTATGATCATAAAGATTTTGTTCCTATTGAAGTAAAATCTGGGTCTTTGGTTGTCATACATGGTGATCTTATCCACCAAAGGTTTGTTAAAACAATTCTCTCTAGATAACGTGTATCATGTAGAAACAAAGTTGCCTTTGAAGGTGAATACCTGATAATTCATCCTTATCTGCTTTTCTATGTGGATGACAGCTTTGAAAACCAGTCCCCAAAATCAAGGCATGCGTACAGTTTGCATGTGGTGGATACTGATGGCTGCAAATGGGCACCAGAAAACTGGTGAGTTTGGATCATAGGAAGAGTTTATTTACTATCCCTTTTCCACCTATAGGAGCTCAATTATCATTGAAAGGTTTGTTTGCTAAAAGAAATCTGTGGTTGATTAATATGGTCATTAATAATACACAATTCAACTATGACTTGATTGAATCTGTTAGATATTGACCACTTGCTGTTTTTGCCTCTATAGAATCTTATTTATGAGCTGCTTTCTATATTTTTGGTATTATTTGCCTACTACTTTTGATAGACCTTGCATTATTTATTACATTTATTCTATACCATCAGTTCTTTGTCTTCCTTAATCCCAATGACTAGGAATCATTTTACATTTTAACCTAGAAGGAATTAGGTTTTGACTTTATAAAACTTGTTGGATTGAACTGATGCTTTCACTTTTACCTTCGGTATTCTTATGATTTCATATCGATTATGGTCTTCCTATAACGTGATCAGGATGAGGAACTCGTAGTAATTGGATCAGATATACAACAATGGTCTTGCTGCTAAAGATAGTAGATTGCCTTGCCAGAGTGCTAACTATAAAAGTGTGGTTGCATCTCTTTTTCCTAAGACCTAACTCGAAGAAATACTATTATAGTGAAAAATATACCTGTGTGATCTTCAAGTATTAGTTAAGAATTTTTTTACTGGCATAGATACTGACAGGGTACCAAACAAACATTTGAATACTTAATTTTGCTCAGTGTTTTTAGGTTTGACTCATTTGAATCATTGCATGGATTTTTGATTTTTCTATGATATGCCATTCAGAAGATGGTTAATACTTAAAACATTTGTTAAAAAAAAATACAAATTTTATGTATTTAATATAAACTTTTGTAGATAGTTGTAGTTAACGTATGTAACCGTGACCAACACTTGCAAGTGCAAAAAATTGTTTATTTTATGAAAAAGGTAAAAGCTACATAGTTTTCACCAAAAAATTGTTAGAATATTTTGCAAAACATCGTAAGTTTGTAAGTTGTTTGGTGAGTGTTGTTAATGAACTAACCTTTTTGTCAATGGTGTACCGTAGGCCTCTAGTGTTGCACCCTTGCACTAGGTAAATGTGTAGGACAAATAAGTACACAATACCTCTTTATGCTTAGTTTCTAAGAACTGCATACACTTCAGATTAGGTGACTTCTTGATGGTTTTTGCTAAATAATTGCTTCTTTCTGTCAAATTTTCTTTCAGGATCAGACGGAAAGTGGAGCCAGAACCACTCTATGTACGCTGACAATCTATAATCACTGTATTTTAAACCTGAATTTGCAAGTTTGTACAAAAGCTAAAGTATTTTTAATCTGTTGTTATAAGCGTTGCAATAATGTGTCCCCTGTTTGTGTTGCCACTGATGACTAGATTCCATCTATTCGGCTTCTGGATATGAATAATCAGAATAAAATGTCCTGCCATATCTGTTAGAGAATATATAAATCATTAAAAAAGTTCTCACCCAATACTTTAAGATTTTGAGTTGAAGTGGTTCTTTACATGATATCAGAGCTTGAGTGATTACAAGGTCACAAGTTCGATACTCACCGTCCCCCACTTTAAAGTGGAATTAAAATAAAAAACACAAAAAGACAAACCAAAAATTGGACCTGTGCAATATCTACGCTTCTAGTCCAAAGGGCTATTGCGTGAGGGGGTGTGTTAGAGAATATATAAATTATTAAAAAGGTCTTTACCCAACACTTTAAGGTTTTAGGTTGAAGTGATTCTTTAGAATATGTTTTTTTTTATGGTTTATATAAACCCCATCAATTAATAATGTTATCACATCATTAAACTTATTTGACATTAGTAAAACTGGATTCCTTGCACCCGAAAAAAAAAAAAATTGCAGGTAGTGCAGTTTGTAATAGAGAAAAATAAAAGTTAAAGGCTGGAGATTATTTGCACTTTATTTAATCAGTAGAGGATCTTGATTTGAAATTAGCGTAATTGTGATTGTTTTAATAGTTTAACAATGTATGATCAGAGGACAATATAAAGGTTTTTATTATTATCATTATTAGTACAATGATAGTGTACTCTTAGATGTTTAATTGATAAGAGAATTTTCTTATTTTGGCCGCGTTTGGATAAACTTATAGAAGGTTCTCTTATGATATGTATATCAGAGTTTGTTTAGAAGTTGATTTTTCTAATTAGTAAGAAAAGCACTAAAGAAGTTTGTATTTTAGGGTTTTTTTTTTCAAAAAAACTTATTTACTATTTTTTTCTTTTCTTAAAAAGGACTGTTTTAAAGTTAGGACTCGGATGAAACATATCAAATGTTTCTTTACTACTGATACTTGTTAGCAAATGGCAAATATATATTTAAAGTAAGACACACTGATAATACATATACTTTATGAATTATGGAAAATGGAACAAGGCAAATGGAACAAATAAAAAAATAAAAAATAAATATTATGGTGTTATACCACTTATGGATTTATCTAAAATTAAATGCTTGTAACAAATCAATTAATAATCAAGATTCTAGTTTTTATGTATTCTCAATTTGGTTGGAATATTATTTGTGGCTAGAGATCATGTGCTACCTGTTGCAGACCCAGGTAAACGTGACCAGGTTGGAAAATATTTTTTTTTCTGGCTAAGTTACTAAAAGGTATTTGATAGGTCAATTTTTTTTCGAGAATATTGAGTTAATTTTATTAATGTTATGTGTTAATTTTTTCACCACATGGGAAAAAAATAATTCCACCCCTTCAATAGTAATCTTTCCTAACTATTTTACATAGAAAAACAAATAATAAACAAAAAAATTTTCCAATCATATTTTTACTTCACCTCATAACAAATATAGGCAAATAATTTTCCTACCCCATTTTCCTAGAATTTTTTTTTTAACTCCTACGAAACACCCCCTTATTCTTTTAAAATACACCACACATGTTTATAATTATTTTTGTTACAAAAGAGATGTAGTACAGGGAGAGAAGAGGTATATGTTGAATGATGAACTTTCAACATCATCATTATTCAAGTGTTAAAAGACAAATGGATTGCAAATCTTGGATAAAACAAAGATCATTTGAGCAATGAATATTGTGAGTGATGTGTTATGAGCATGGAGGTGGAACCAACAGACAGAGAGACAAGAGAGTTTCAGGACGCTGGCATGCAGCAATGTATTGCATAACTTGCCCATTTCAATGCATAAGGGTCGCTTCCTCTCTCTTTGTACAGTGATTTTGTTGTCCTTTTCCTCACTCACACATTGTTTAAGCTTTGCAGACATGCAGTGATGACAATTCTGCAACTTCTAGTTTTGCATAACCGTAGACAAACCCTTCCTTCTTTCACTCTTCAATTATGACTGGCTCATTTGCACATAAATGAAAATGTTTTTTTTATTTTTTTTATATATATTTATTTTTTGGTCTGTCAATTTTCCTTCAGGTGGAGTACAACTTTTTTTTGTGGTCAGGATGATCCTTCGCTTCTGCTCTTGGTGGTCAACGTCAACCATGGTAACTTTAATTTTTTTTTTTCTATTTGGGTTAAATGTATGTATTTACATTTTATAGTTCCATATACTGTTATAAATTACAAATTAACTGTTACACAAATGATTTATTTGCTTTAGAACTTGTAGAGGTCTAAAACTTCTGTATTCCCTGCTATCTCCGCGTCTTGGAGTTAGCATGCGTCAGTTGGGTTGGCCAAGTGTTTTTACTTTTCAGATTCTATTATGCACATGGTGAAAAATTTCAATGAATTGGGATCACCGAACTTGATGGTCCATTTTATTGAAAATAATTTTTTTTTTGAATTTAAAGGAAAATATAAAAAAAACATAGATAAAAAGGATTTTTTTTTTCTTTTTTAGCAAAAGGGACAACCGAATTCGGTAATCTTGATGCATTTTGAAGTTTTTCTCTGCTCATGATATCAGTGGGATATGTTTGAGAATATTTTTGACCACATCCAACCCCAAATGTGATCTTAAGGATTTTTTTATTTTTTATTTTTTTGGTTTTTCTGGGTGCCCTTATATCATTTGTGTGTGTGACTAATTCTTTCGAGTTTGGATTTTGATGGTTGCTGATTAATCCAACACCAATTGAGCTGGATCTAATCATATACGGTTGAAGGTTGTATGAGAGTGATTTGCTGCAAAGGCACTTCGACGCTCAAGTCAATTTTAATATCCAAGGAGGTTCAAGTATTCAAAGAGAGATATTATACCTTGGCCAATGACCTTTGTATTTATAGTGTTTGAGCGCCGGTGTTTATCATCGTCCTTCATAAGATGATGTTCATGTTGATTGGTGGAGAAGGGTGGTCTCTCTCAGGTTATTCCTTGGTGAGCAAGCCTATGTTCAGAGTAAATTTAGTGGATGTGCTGGCAAGTTGGAGCTGTTATCCTCACACTGGTTTCTGGTGGTAGCCAACTTGCCTGAGCTGCTGATTTCGACAATGATGGCTCCTTTCAATTTAAGTAACTTTGGCTTGGTGGCCAAGTCATGAGCGAGATCCAAGCTTCTCGTGGTGAGATGGACTGTCTTTGTGGCTATCTCGCAGAAGTGAGTTGGGCCTTGTTACACTTGGGCCTCTTTCTTATGTATAGTAGGTTCGGATCAGAAGTACCCTTGCTTGTTGCTTATGCTGTAAGCATGAGGAGCGAGATGTAATCTTTATGCGAGATGCATTCTCTATGCAAAATACTCTTGTCGTGAAATGTCTTTCCTCATGCGAGATCCTTATTCACTTGAAATGCTTTTGTCGTCGCTCGTGGCGAAATACTTGCCACGTACTCATAATTTTTGCACTTGAGTGGGCTTTGGTAAACCATAATTTCATCGCTTAAGAGGCTGTTGATGTGATTTTAACTGCCAAGAGCATTAAATGTGAGTCTTATTACGTGTGGGTTAATGTAATAATCTGTTGGCCTCTACGCGACATACGTCCCACTTGATACTTAAATCGTTTCACCTTAGCCATTCTTTTATGCATTTGCCCTTCAGTTACTTTTCATATTCTTATTACCGAAGAATTTGGAGGGAAAACTCACTTGCCTTCATTCTTCATCTTTCCTTCATCTTTTGATTCATTCGATTGACACGTTGTGAGCTACTATTACATTTGTGTTTCCTGAAGAACTTTTTCGAATTCCAGCAAAAGCTCCAGTATAAATACTAGGTATGAACTTTTGCTTTACCTTCCTTCGCTTTGTATTTTTTGTAATCTTTTGTTAGTTGAGTGTTTGAGTCTTGCATTATTTATTTATTTTTTCTACGTGAAGTAGTATTGGATATTCTCGGGTTTTTAGGTTTTTCATTTTTTATTTCTTCGTCTCCAAGTTTCTGGGTTTTCTGAGTTGAGGAACATAGTACAATAGTTTGAAAAGATGTCTGACGAACATCCCTATACTGCATTTTTTAGAATGGCTGAGAGGTCAGATTCCATGAGGTCAGAACCGAGACCATTTCCTAGGTCTAGGTCAATTAGTACTACATGGTGGTGGTTGACGGGTGAAGGAATTTCTCATTGGGAGAAAGCTAAAATCGAAGGGGTTTTCCTCCCACCTTAAGAGGTTATAGAGATGGGTCATCTTCGTGAGGCCCTAGGCAAGCTAGAACTTCATCTCGCGAGGATCAAGGGGGATCTTGCCAGTTACCCAGGGTTTAGTCCCAACAAAGTAACATCTAGCAACAAGCTAAATTCCTTCCTCCTCAAAAAATCCAATTATCCTCTCTAGTAGTTCAAATTATGAATCAAGTCCCCATTCTTCTTCGAAAGCATCTCGTTGCCCTAATCCTACTCCTCGCAATCCTAGTCCTATTCCTTTGAATATTGAGTATCCAGCTAGTTATCCTTTAAAGAAACACAAAACCAGCGGAGTACCCATAAGCTCTTTTTTTAGTTCTTTTTCATTTGATTCTTCTAATACTTTGTCTAATTCTGTTAATATTGACTTCACTTCTTCCTCTCTCAGGGAAACCATGAGTAAACGAACCTTCCTAAGGAAGAGTACTGTTGGCCTGCGAGATGCAGCCAACCTTGAGTGGGTGGATGGGGATGTGAAGAAAATGGTCTCCATTTATCATACCACTATAAGAATTGCGGAGCTTGCTGCCGCAAATTACTTTGCCAAAGATAAAGTCCATGTCCATGAGTAGGAAATTTCTCCTTTCTTGCGGATGAACGTGTTTGCTCATCTTTCCTGGATGAGCATTTGAAACACTTTTTAATGATGTATAGTTATATCTTTCTCACCTTAGGTGTCCGTCTACCTTTTACAATTTTTGTCATTAACCTCTTGAACCACATTAATGTTGCCGCCTCTCAACTGTGTATGAGATGTTATGCAAGGCATACAATCTCTTCACTTTACCACATTCTTTTTTGTGTCTGTTCAAAGTTTACGGATCCCGTAAAAGTTAGGTATCTTTTAGAAAAAATCATACCTATAATTTTTGCGAGGCATATTCCGAGAAAATTCATAACTGGAATATGGATTACTTCAAAATTTATCCTGCGCGAGATCATCATTCATTTTATTTGGATCTTGAGGATAATACTCCTATCTTTCCTTTATATTGGACTAATGATCCTGAAGGCTATCCCAAAATGAGCTATTTGTTTGATGATCTGGACCCACCTGAGAGAATAACGATGATGAAGCTATGCGACAACATTGGTTTGTTAAGTGCTTTCACTATCCTGAATAAGTATACAGATAAAGATGTGAAAGTCTTCCCTGGTAAGACTTTTTTATTATGCATGTATTATTTGTTGATCTCGCATGTCATTTTTGCCTCTATTTGATTCACTGTATTATGTTTACTGTGCTATCTTCTTGTAGATAGCACGATGTCAAACAAGCTGAGGATGATGAAGATAATGGCAAGAAACAGAGCAGCAGTCATGGCTGGTGGGGCTTGTTCTAGTCAATCGCCACCTGTTTCTCTTGAAGTATAAGTTCAGGAACAAGCGAGATCAACTACTCACATCCTTACTTCACCTGGGTCCTAAAAAAGTTCAGGTTGAAGCCTCCCTTCATTCTCGCTAGGGTGAAATTGGAGCTACGGAGGAGGCAGATCTCTGACGAGATGCCTGCCCTCCCTTCTTCTTACCTCTGGAAGCGTTCTGGAATTTGGACATCTTGCTCTTGGTATCAAGCATTTTTTTAATTTATAGAGAGTGAAATTCGAAATTTATCATTCCCTACAGACGGTGCCAATTATCAGTCCAACACCAATTGGGCTAGGTCTAACCACACACGGTTGAAGGTAGATGATGTTGATGAAGAGAAGGAAAAAAATCATGAACTGTTGTCGGGATACTTGTAAGCTAAGTAGATGGTAAAATGCGTTGCGAGATGGTTGAGCGATGATTATGCTTCTCTGGGTTATATAAGAGTAATTGGGTGGTACCTGCAAAGGCACTGCGATGATCAAGTCAGTTTTAATATCCAAGAGGTTCAAGTATTCAAAGAGAGATATCATACCTAGGGCAATGACCTATGTATTTATAGTGCTTGAGTGCTTGTGTTTATCATCATCCTTCATGAGGCGGTGTTCATGTTGATTGGTGGAGAAGAGTGGTCTCTCTCAATCTATTCCTTGGTGGGCAAGCCTATGTTTATAGTAAACTTAGTAGATCTGGTGGAAAGCTGGAGCTGCCATCCACACACTAGTTCCTGGTGGTGGCCAACTTGCCTGAGCTGCTGATTTCGACAATGATGGTTCCTTTCAGTTTAAGATACGTTGGCTTGGTGGCCAAGTCATGTGCGAGATCCATGCTTCTCGTGGCAAGATGGATTGCCTTTGTGACTATTTCGGAGGAGGGAGTTAGGTCTTTTGGGCCTCTTTCTTATGTATAATAGGTCCGAATCAGTTACAAACTTACGATTACACTCTCTACGGTTATGATTTTGGGTTGTGCAGTTTCTATCATTTCTCAATTTGCTACCTACCATTTTTTGTGGAACAAGATTGATTTGTCAATAATAAATCTTAAATTCAATCTTAACCATTAATTTTCGTCCATCAAATTATTTGGTTTATTTTTATTAATTAACAATAAATTATAACCGTCGAATGTATAAAATTAATGAAGGGATTTATATTCATCATGCAACATGATACAATCACTTTTCCTACACACACAACATTTTGTGGGGCTCGCATTTTTTGAAGCAAAAAAAAAAAACTAAGGCACGAAAAACGAATATCTATAACTTAACACAATCACTTTTCCTACAACATAACTTTTATAAAACGAAAATTAAGAGTATGATTTATTTTTCTTATATTTGTGTAGGCGTTTGGTACGTGTCATTCTCCAAGATTTCCAAAAAACTGAATTTTTCTAAATTTTAAATTTTCGGATATTATCGTAAACTGAATGTAAAAATCATATTTTTGAAAATCGAGATTCTCGGACAAAAAAAAATTATCCTCTACCAAACGCCGCCGTTTTGTATTTCTACTTTTAGCCATACATTAATTTTGTGTTAAAGAGTATTACTACATTATTTTTTAAAGATTGATTTTTGTGCAAGGTATTCTTACATGAGTAGGACCGATGTAAATAAAGCGACGAATAAATATTATTTTTTTATCTTACAAGATTTCTTGATATTATTTAAGTGTGATATTAATTCTTACTTGAAATCCTTATTCCCAAATACTTTATCTGAAATCCAAACCATCTTCTTGATATAGCATGATGCACTTTGTTTACTTTTAATCGAAAAAGGAATATTCCATATCGAAAGTTCTTTAAATTCATAAAAATAAGTTATTAGTCCAATTAAAATAACTATAAACTATTTCACTATGATTCTGATTTTTGTAATGTATTTCATTTTCTCCCGGTTTTTAACTTTGTTGATTGTGTTTTACTCTGAAACGTTCAAGATATATGTTTCCTTTGTTGGGTTAATGCAGAGAAAATCAACTCCAGTACTTGTGGGAGAGGATTAAACTGTAGTGGAATCCATAAACACACACACACACAAATTTAAAATGAAAATTAAGAGGTATATATGTAACAAGATGAATGCCCACAGACAATAATTAATATGATATAGTAAATCCATAACATAAAATAGCTCACTGATAAAATAAACTGGAGAGTTATTAGACTAATTATTCTTATTACTATATTTGTAACTCAAAAGAAAAGAAAAGAGTCCCTTCGGGGACATCCGATAAAATTGGAAAGAAAAGAAAAGAAAAAAACTTGAGAGTTTAACTCCAAATTAAATGGCCTTTAACCCTTAATGCGTGCACCCTTTTTTCATAAATCAAAGAATCCATCCGAATTACAATTGAGGTCCAGGTTATGATCTTAAAGCTAATAGTCCTTAGCCCAAGTCTATAATGAAGTCAAGCCTTACTTATCTACTATAAGTCAACAATCACTAAAAACACAATTAGTATAAAACTAATTCTAATCAAGGAATTTACACACACACCAGAAAATTACCTAGTATATAAAGCTTGTCAATATAGGTGTTCCTACTTCCTTGCTTAAGGTTTAATTACCTTTTTGTTTTCTTTAATAATTACATGTTGACATTTTCAAACATCTTCGACGTGCACAAAAAACTACCCTTGTTTGCTTATCATTATCTACGTAAAAGGAGAGCAAAATATATTGAGTTTATGATTAAAGATGAGGATAGCAATCTCTCTAAATAGAAAAGAAATGAAGTGAACAAGACAAAAACATTAGGTTCATTGAAATGCTGCAACTTCTACATGCATGATCACTGACTCGCAAGAGAGAAAATTGTAAATCACATAGCTGATCCCTTCAGTTTCTTAAAGGAAAAAACTCAAAAAACTTGTTGCAAGCGATTTCAGTGTCCATAGAAGAAGCATTAGCACAGAACTTAGATTTCATCTCTTGGTCATCCCTCTTAAGTGGAAAAAGGTCAAGGGTCCGAGGATCAGCAATATTTTCTTCATCATAATAGTTGAAGCTTTCTCTGTTGAGTACGGAAGGTAACTTACAAAAAAGTTGTTTGTTAAGTGTTCTGTTTGCTGCTACTGAAGTTGTAGCTGCCATAGTAATGGGAGGGAAGCATGAAATCTCCATATTTTGGCACCTAGTTTGCCTTTCTGCTATGTTTCTCTTCAAAACTTGTATTCCTCTCTCCTCAAGTTGAGTCCACCCATTAGATCCCTTTTCTGCTATATCCAGTACAACAGATTCCTGCAAATTACAGATAGTAAAAGTTGAAAAGTAAAAACAATTTAAAATTAAAACTAAAAAAAGGGGGAAGAATATTGATAGAGCAAGAGAGTGTGTGTGTGTGTGTTGTGTTGTGATGGTTTGATATAATTCATATTCTACTTCAAAAAAAATAAAAATAATTCATATTCAATTCACAAATCCAAGAAAGTCTGAACAATAGCATAAAACAGCCCCAACAGAAAGTTAAAAAAGCAGCTTTTGAAACCTCTCCTTTTTTCCAACATACAAAAGCTCTTGTTGTTTTCTTCCACTTCTTTCTTATTTCTCATTAATATTAAGTTTTTTTTTCCCTTCTTCTTGGATTTACCTTCTATTTGACCTTCTGAACAAATAATTAAACCCTATTATTGTTGTCCTATAATCTTTAGGGTATCTTTGCTTAACAAAGGTGAATAAAATGTTGTAATTGTACTATGAACAAAGCCAAGAGTAATTACAGACCTCTGCATGTCCACTGCAGTTTGAAGTGGGCGCCCATTTCTTTGTCTCTTTAACTTCACAACCTGTCTCTTTCAACCCTGTACCCAAAATCCAAACACCCCAAAATTCAACGTCAAATCTTGCATACTTAAAAAAAAAACTGATAAAACCTTTCTCTCTCTTTGTTGTAATCATCAGTGTAACATAGGAATCTTTTGACCACTAAAAGAAACTTGAATACCAAGGTGATAAGGAGCATGACCTTAATTAGAAATCTCGTGTTCGAGTCCCAAAAAAAAAAAAAAAAAACTTTTTGGAAGAGCAGTACTTGAAAAAGTCCGACAATGTTCGATGGAGATTAATCTTCGGTTATAGTCGGAGGAGACATTTGAGATTACTCAAAAAAAAGAAAAAAGAAAAAACCTTGATTAGCCCCAAAGGCCAAAACGTTACCCTCTTGATTTTTCTGATTTCCCATAACGTATATACTGAACTTTGTTACCTTGAGTGGAAGAAGCATATTCCTCCATCTCCCTGCGACGACGTTTTTGACGCTCTCTTGCTTTGTGATTTTGGAACCAATAGAACACGTTCTTCCCTTCAATCTTCCCAAACTGGCGCAACTGTGATGCTATTTGCTGGATTTGTTCTGCTGATGGTGTCTTTGTTCCCTGCCTATACAATTCCTCAAGAACAAGTAATTGAACTGGTGTTGGACTCCACCTTGAGCTTTGTTGGGACCCTGTGTTATTTGTCCCTTGCTCTGCTACATTAGCTTTAGAATAAGACATGAAGAAAAATAGTTAAGATAATTGTTTAGTTCATACTTCACAATCTGGTCAGATTAATTTCTTAGCAGACCTATATATATATATATAGAAGAAAAATGACCATATGAATGTTATTTACATTAATAAAAGAAAGCCTATAATATTAGATATTTAAGAAAATTTGGCTTACCAACATGGTGATTGAAGGTGAGGAGATGGTTACAGTGTGTGCAAATACAATAAGGTTGGGCTATTGAGGAGTTTGTAGTGATTTTTGGAGCTGCATGGGTGGAATTTTGAGTGGTAAAGTGAAAGTTACTAATTGAATCAGACATGTTTTGAGGTTAGAATCAAATCACTTTCTATAACTAAAAGGTCTTTGTTTAAATATTGCACATAGGGAACACTGTTTTTGTGGGAGAAAGATAGTGAGGGAATAATGGAGATGAAGTTGAGGAAAGGAGCACAAAGAACACTGTATTTATAGGAAGAAAGAACGTTGTAGTAAAAGCTTTAGGTGAAGCAGCAAGCAACAAAAAGAGTTGACCAATACGTATAACATACAATTAGTAATAACACAGAAACCAAGTATATATTAAATACATGAGAAGGAGAGAGATAGAAAGAAGAGAGAAGTGGAAAATGGAAAGTGTGGATTTCTGAGAGATGTGGAGAGTGAAGGTGTTTCTGAAAAAGGGCACGTACAGCATGATGATGATGATGATAATATCATGTTATTAAAGTTGCTTCTTCCCCATGTCTCCTCTTTCCTAATTTTTCTCTCACTCTTCCTTTCTCCTCATTCAAAAAAGTTTTTCTCAAGAGGTTCAAGATCTCTCCATCTCACTATTTGAGACACACAACTTACAAGTACACAAATGAAAACCTGTTTCTTATGTGTGCCTCTCTTTGCTTTGTCTTGTTCCGGACAGTTGACACTGTTTATGCACACTGCACTTTTGGACAATCACAACTTTAACACCTATAATTGGAAAAAAAGAATTATCTAAAACTTGCTAAACAATAAACAACTCCAACCATATTGTGATCAAACATGTTGTGCTTTTACAAAGGTTCCCCTTAAATAGGTGAAGAAAACATTTAAACCAATCTAATTGGCCACGATGTACATTTCCATTGATAAAATATTTGCTCATTATTTCTTCCAATTCATTCCAAATATTTCCTTTCCCTAAACTTGAATAAATTTGAGCTAACGTAGCTCTAATTGAAGGCATGTTTGGAGAAACGTATAATTATAAAGCAAGATATCATGGCAGTCACTGAAGGCAAAATATTCAAGAAGGCTTATTTTTGAAATCCTTTGAATTGATACCATTTTTTATGACTTTTCTGGTTTCATGCTTGCTGTTTTTCTAATCTAAATTAAGAATCTTTGCATTAGAATTTCTTGCATTAAGTTTTCACTTGAGAAGCTAGAGCAAATTAATTTGTTGAGGACATCAAATGGTTTAAAAATCTGCTTATTTTTACTAATTTTAGACAATATATTTAGCAATAGTATTTGGGGAATGATCTGTTTACAATTTTTTTTTACAAATTACACTAAGTATGACCGGTCATAGACTCTTAATTGATTGAAGTATGACAGATCATATTTACTATAGTTTGTAAACAAAAAATTTGTAAATATAATCTTCCCTATAGTATTTTGGAAGCAACGGAGTAATGAGGGGAGAGTGACCGTCCACTACAAATTTATACGAATCTTTATATTTGAGCATAATTTTGTATTTTTTGGTCATATAATTAGGGATAGCCTACCTTCAAAATACATGGAAATTTTTGTTTTTTTTTTGTGAACACTATTTCTACTTTCTTAGTTATATAGATAGTTGTAAAGACAAAAGAATATACGTTGTAATTTTGCCACTCCTGACAAATTTCTCTGGCTCGCCATTGTTTGGAAGCCTCCTAAAATACAGTTTTCTTGAGAGAAGCTGCATATTAAATCAATCTATAGCAACTCTTTCATGGTTTTAGTAATCTACAATCTTAAAATCGAGATCACAATTTTAGTAATATAATATAATCATATATGCAGCCTTTGATCTTAGGCAATAATTATTTTTTTACACAAAAATTTATTTAGTTTAGATAAAGGCTCAACGCAATGCAAGGTCAAAAAACATCAACGAAGATTTATAGTAAAATTACATATTGACTGGCAATGAATTGCTTAAAGTTGAACTCAAGTACTGACTTTGCAGGATTTTTATTTTATTTTTTGTATTTATAGGGATGCTTTTTAATTTTTATAATGACATTCAGAGCTCCTGTTTTTTGTTTTATCAGGACACCGAAAACTATAAAACTATAAATATAGCATTGTTAACTAAATGCACTATATGCACTCTATTTAAGATATATCTAAAATGATACTCTGTGTACAAAAAATAAAATAAAATGATACTCTATAGATTTACATTTTACATAAGAATATACAAAGACAACCGAGTGTAAAAAAAAGTCAGATTTTTCTTTGTATATCAATCAAATTATCACGAGTATTTTTTTGTCAACGTGCAGCCTCATAAAATTAAGTTTGCGTGTAGAGCACATTGAGAAGGTACTATAGTGCATGCATGCTTATTGAATGCAAAGAAAAAACTTTATCATATAATTAAGACATGGCTGCATATTTCACTTGTTGAATAGATACTAGCTTTGTACCCTATAGAAGTAAATACTAGCTATATAACTGCCCCTAACTCATACCATAGCCAACCTCAAACACAAACTGTTGTCTACATTGTGTCTCAAGTTTGAAAACTGATTAACTATTGAATGAACATTAGATAGGTGTTTCCATGTCCCCCGACCATCTCTTACAACGTCAATAATATCGTTGCATTAGAGTTATTCAGTTATTTATGCTTAAAAATGTATTGAATAGTCTCACACTTGAAGGAGTGGCGAGACCTCGTCAAATTATTTATTTTTAAATTTTTTTTATCGGAATATGAGATGAACTTATGTTTGGACAGACAACTTTTAGACAAACGAAAATATACAAGATAAAGCTGTTGATTTGCGTACAGGATATAGGATATGACCTCATATTTGGAGGCCAATAACTCAATATGATGGAAGAAAGAACGTACAAGTTTTAATTTGTTTTTCAACTTTTTGTAACTGTAGCATTAAACTATTATATACGGGTTTCATTTTTCTGATTTTGCTAGAAAAAAAATTATTTGATAGGAAAAAATAATAAGTACATAATACAGTTAATACATAGTTATAATGATAAAATTATCTATTTTCTCTCCACCACGTGAGCCGACAATGTCTAATGAAAGAAAAAAATAAAGTAGCTTAATATTATAATTATGTATTATCCGTAGTACATAGTTATTTTTTTTTTTACATGAGATAATTTTTTTTCTGCAATATAACAAAAGGATTTTCATATATATATTAATATGTATTTCATCTTCCTCACTGACTACACAAATGTTGGATAATCGTTTGACAAGATTACGCAGAATTTAAGTATGCTATTAAAAAACACAATTTAATGACTTCCTAGTTATTATCTACATAGCGACTCACACTAAAGATTATCAAAAGTGTAAATGATTTTTGTGCTCTCGTTGGAAACTACCAGTTGATTATTTCATATGTTGTTCTGCGGTTGAAAGCAGGCTTACCGGGAAAGTGTGAATGTCAAGCATAAAATCAACGTATATTTTGGCCGTTATTATAGTGAGCAGAATTAATGGTGCTGGAAAGTTAAGATTAGTGTATTAAAAAAAAAGGGGTTAATTAATACACACTGTTTTTTAGACAACAATACTTTCATATTGTAGTATGAATAATATTATATTTGTTGTTATCAAAAAAAAAAAAAATTATATTTGTTCAGTTTTTATTATCTAATTATAGTTGATTCTATTTCATTTTTCTCACACTAACGCTTTTGATTCTACCACCTATTTTTAGTGTGAGATGTGAGATATAAGCAATGTACAAGAAGCATATATTTTTATGGTAATATTTGCTCACACTCATAATTAAAACTCTAAAAATACCGAATTCTCTAAATTTATTGTGCACCAGTTTCACATTACGGTAAAAAAAGAGACAATAGTCAATTTTAGCCAAAAAAAAAAAAAGAGCACAACGTTTTGGGACGTGGAATAAGACTGGAAAATTCAAAGGGAGTCACTGAGTCAGGTAAAGAAATCACCACAATCTACTAAAGAAAAAGAGAAAGAAATCACCACAAATTCCCGAAGTTGAACTGTTAAAGATTGTTAAAAGGGGTTTCTCTTTTAACTCATCAAAATGAACAATGGTGATAGGAACAAACTTGAAATTTCTTGTTGGACAAGTTTATCAAACCAAGTTGACCATAAAGGAATGTTGATCAAGCCCTTATTATTTGCTCAATCGACAATGTACATTGATGAAGGATCGTTTGATAAATGGCTCTCTAAGCTTATAGTGTCTTGTCACCAGAAGTTATGGAATTGCTAGTCATCATAGTTTGGGGCGGTTTGTTAATTTGTCTCAAAACAAATTGTGCTACGATCAGAGACCATACGATTAAGCTTCAGTCTGACAAAAGTCTTTTTTCTCTCTCTTTTTTTGGGGTCCTTGATGAAATCGAACGGTCCAGAAACTACTACCTATTAATTACAAGGATACAATGGTTTGCAGTATATAAATTTTAATATTTAACTTACACATAGGTTATTGACTTGGTTCATGAATAAACACTGACAGAGCCAGAAAATATTTTTAACTTGTGCCAAACATCAATTTCTGAAAAAAAATCACCTAGCGCCAGCTATGGAAGAAGCTGTTATTTTCATAATTCTCTATTATTTCCATAGTTACATAAATAGGAAGTCAACCATTTTTGAACATCAGTCAATGCCAAGCACTGCTACAAATAGACACATTTTCGACAGAATTTTTCTTTTACAAATGATAGAAATTCTGTCGAAAATATAAAATTATTCAAGTATTCTCATTGGCTAATGAGGTTTCAT